TTTTTTGAGAGAACTAAGCATCCGATTGGAATGATTCGAAAAACTTTCAGCTTGTGTTGACAAAACAATTGCTTTTGGAACAAACTTATTTTATTTTCTAAAAAAATGTATGTCGAAAATAATTCAGATTAATTTATTAATTAATTGTGGCTAAAGTAATAAAGCTCACATATATACTTTAAATATATAAATTTAACTTTGTAATTCAGTTTATATAATTCTTATAAATATTAGGCAGTATTACGGTATTTATAATAATCTATTTGAAAACATTCAAAATTCCTCGAACATTTCGTTACGGTACGGGAAGTTCCAGCAATTTGCCTTGAGGCACGATGCCATACACCCTACCAGTTATTTTAACTTTTTACATAGTTTGAAAACAAATAGTTCACGCTTGCGGCAAGTAATTTTAGTCATGTATTTGTACCTCAAACAGTCAATAATGGATTAATATCAAAACGAATCAACTAATTCATAAGATTTTAATAATAAATTAGCATTATGTGTGTATATAGGCATTTTTGATAGATTGACCCCAACTACTTACGTAAACTCTATTTTTCAGTATATTAGAAGTATAGTCAGAATTAAAAATAAAATCTGAATTATTTTCGATATACAAAAAATTTTTTTTTGAAAAAAAAAAGTTCAAACAAAAATTTTTTTTCCAAGATCAATTATTTTGTTAAGACAAGCAGAAAGTTCTTTGAATCATTTAAATCGGACGTTTAGTTCTCCTGCCTTTGCGAAAAACTAATAAACACTTTTCCCAATCATTGCTAATTGAATGTTTTTTAGATCATTCAAATCGGATGCTCCGTTCTCTCAAAAACTCGATTTCTATTTTCTGCACCCTTTGCTTTTTATCTCCGTAACTGCTGGACCTGCCTATGCCGAAAACTAATCAGCACATCTCTCTATCAATAGAAATCGAATGTTTTTTGAACCATTCAAATCGGTCGATCCGTGCGCCCGAAAACATGACTGAAAATTTTATCCATATATACATACACACACACTCACATCCATTTTTCTGAGGTATGCCAAAATGTTCAGAAACCTTCAAAACATCGAGAAATGTAAAAATTTTCAATTTCGATTTTCGCCCCATTACAATAACTTACCCTACGGAAAGTTAAAAATGTTTTATTATTGTTTTTAACTTTGTATAACATGCAAATTATGGGTTTGAAATCGAGCTAATTAACTATTCATAAAGTTCAAAATGATCTAGTCACTAGATCTTTTTCTAGCAATTGTTTTTAGTTATTTGTTAACATGTATTTACAAATACTTTAACGATAAAATACTAAAAAATCATAGAAACTGAAATAACTCCTAAATGCTTGCAATACCATTAAAAATATTTTTTCCGTTCGTCATCTTAATGTGATGTTTTCAGTAAATAGGGGTGGTTTCTGGAGTTAATATTATTGCTAAATTCTGTGAAATTGTTAGCACAATATTATAAGTATAGATTATTTAAACCAAATACATGTCCTAATTATAAAAAATGTGCTTCACTTTGCTAGTGAATTTAATCCGGTCATCATTGACAATTTATCTGGCTGTGAATAAATTGAATCTCATGCATTCCAAAATATTATAAGAAAAAAATTATAAAGAATGTATTTTTATTCTATTAGTCTTGAATTTATCTATAAATATTTACATTTTGGTCATTTACATTGGCTAAATTATTTGCGATTTATATTCAATTTTTGTTGATAATTTTAGTTGAACCTGTGTAACGTATAAAATAATATATATTCAGTATAATTAAATATTATATATATATATATATATATATATATATATATAACGGTTCAAGTAAAAAGTTCTTAGCTTTTCTTCGGTCGTTCAAACCATCTACTCATTTATTTGATATGATATTTTCTCAAATGTGTTACCAGAGAGAAAGGGCGAGTTTCAAACGGAAGTTGTTTAAAATTTTGATAATTTTTTGAAAGATTAATGCAACACCTTTTATACTCATTGTCAGGTAATATGATAGTTCGACAACTAAAAGAAAATGCTTGGAACTTTTTACTAGAACTGGTATTTAATAAACGCTACTTCGTTCAGAGCAAAACAGCATATGTGCAAAATTACCGTCTATTGGACCCTATATTAAGAGCTTCAAAATAAAAACAAGATTATGAAGTAACATAATGACGCTACATTAAGATGTTTTTAAGAAAATACCTTTATTAAACATAAATGGAATAGAATTCATAAGTCATATAAGCATGAGATTTTATAAATTTAAATTATTATTATAAATCTTTATTATTTGTAGAATATTTCATTTCTAAACTATATTTTTTATATACAAAGTTCGTAATGCAATAGCATTAATTTGAAGAAAAAGAAATTCTCAATTTTTAGTAACAATTACGAAAATTATTGGTCACAGTTTTATGGTATAATTATGCAAAAAATACCATCACAAATAAGAAATTCAAATTCTCATCAAATACCATCTTGACTAAAGTTCTTTATCATTAATTTTGATACTAGTACTCATAAAACCAAAGCAAATGAAAAAACAAATCTCATTTATTTGTACAGCTATAATCGATCTTTCAATGTATATAAATTTCGATTCATTCGATCATTTTGAGAATATCTTTTTCCCCAAACAAATAGGTTCAGCGCAAAGCGCATAATAAAATTTATTAAATATATTATATTTGCAGTTGAGAAACCAACAGCTAGTAACAATAAAAATCTACTAATAATCATTTAATGGAACAACTTTAATATTAATTTATTAAATTATTTAATAAATATCCAATCAATAATTACGAAACGATTTTACGTAAATTTAGTTAATTGATTTTTTTTAAAACTTGTTTCACTTTAGTTTCACTTATACGAAGTTTTCGACATCACCTCCACTGAGAAGGAATAATATTCTTTTTAACTTCTCGTAGTGTAACTTATAGTAATTATCATTTAAGTTGTATTTAATGCGCAATTTTTAGGTAATCTTAAAAATAAAAGTTATTAGACATTATGAAACTGATGTTTCGGGTCAACTCAAAGGTAAAGCCTCATGGAGTGCATGCATATGTGTCAGCGAACTCCATAATGGTGGTCTCTCGCCCGATACCTAGAATTACAGATAAAGTTTTTGAACTTGCGATTTAATATATTACTATAATTTATTATATAACATAGCCTCTATAGTTATAAATAATAATTTTAAAAAATTGGTATTACACAAAAAATAGTGTGTAAGAATATAGTATCCTTACTAGAGAATGCAATACCGATGGAAAATTTCAATACCGGTATTTCGGTAATTTTTCATTTAAAAACCGGAATACCGGTAAGTTACTGGTATTTTTATTATCTTAACCAAACGTAAACAAAATTGAAAGTTACTAGTACAAATATAAAAAAATGTATATACAACTACAACTATATTCACGTAAACAATAAAAAAAAACAATAAGTTTATTATTTTAAATAATAATTTAACAAAAGTATATGCAATTGCTTAATACATTATCACTATCGAGTATACTGAGTACTTTTCACCAAAAACAAACTTATGAGCAAGAAAGGCCAAAAACTCATAAAAAATCATATTACATTATTATAATAAACTGAATTGTCTATATCCGATGTGTTAAACTAGCATACTCTCCAATATTTAAAAAAATAATTTCGCTACACTAATTCAAGATCGTATTCTTTGTCGAGATAAATAATAAGTTACTATAATTGTTGAGTATTGTTATTTAAAACAATATGATGCTTCTATAGTATTTTCAAACCTCGAAACGTTTTCGAAGAATAATATTTTATAATTGTAATAAGAAGCAAAAATATTTAGTAATTATCATAATTATTATGTATAAAGTTAAAAAATAATAAAGATTACGCAGAGGTAATCTATATGATATGAAATATTTTGGCGCAAATATCACTTAAAAAACCGTTACATTTTTACAAAAGATGAAACAAACATCATTATCTATCAGTCCAATTCTATTTATTGTAACACGATATGAAGCCCTTTGGAAAGCAATAAATATTCAGTTTAATGACGAGTTGAGATAATATTTGACATTTGTTTATCTTATAGAATCACTTGAAGATATAGCTGTTTATGCGATTATGGAATTTAAAGATAAATTTGTTCCGAGAAATTTAAACTTTAAGGTATTATGTATCAAATAACGCTTATGTAAAAATACTGAAAATACCGGTATTTTTGGAATAAATACTGCCAAAAAATCTGGCGGTTTACCGGTAATTCGGTATACCGGTATTGCATTCCCTAGTAAGGAGTATGTTCACGCCAAAATCAAAGCATGCCATATATTGATATAGAAACAAAAGCAATCAAATCAAAAATCATCATAAAATTAAATCAATCAATACAATGAAATAAAACTTTGAAAACATTGCACATACAAATACAATTTGTAGTTAATTTTAAAATAAACGCAAAATATCACAATTAAAGTGTTTTAAATATCATTGGTCCTTCGAAAAATCAATCAAACGAAATAAACATTGGTTAGGAAAATTTGAGAATAATGTTTGAAACCATTTTGAAACTTCGGACAAGCATTTTTTCGGTTTTCTTTTATACCGATTTCTTTTTTACTGAGATGGTAATGAAATTTGATTTATACAGTGAATGAATTTATTTGTTTTAGAACAATGAACTATCCAATTGAAGAATTGAACAATCTCTTCTCTTGTCATTTCCCAAATAAGGAAACCCACTTATAGTTTATTTACTATTGACCTCAGATGTCGTCCAGAACATCATTCTAAATTTTTTTGGTTTTGATTCGATGAAATCGACATCACAAATAACATTATTTTTCAGCGGTCAAATTGACCGACCGCGGTAGTTAGGCCAGATAACAATTTTTTTTCGGAAAATATAAAAAATAATTAAAATCAAAGAGTAAAAAAAATAATAGTATGTTCTAAGAATTGTCATATAGTTTGATATTATTATTTTAATGTTTAAAAATGACTAAGGTAATACAGTTTGAAACAACGCCGTTCATTTTGACCGGCCTTGGTAGGTTTAGTGTTGATAATTCTTCTTCTAGTTGAAATAAATAGTTTTTGTTAAGTATACTACATGCTTATCCATGGTATACTAACACTAGGTCCTCCATGTATAAGCGCCGTGTGGCGGGTGATTTTCGGCTAGCTCTCTTTCCCCGTTGTGTCGGTTCCGTTCGTATCTGTATCTGGCGTCATTAACTCAACCTGAAATATCTCAACGTTAAAAGAAATATTAATCTAACAATGGAGTAAATTATCAACAGTTTTTCTACATTATAAGCCTAGCTTATATACGATTTAATTTGGTTTAACGCCGTTCATATTTTTCACGTAACATATCGTGTGTTGAACCCAAATTTATTGAGAGAAGAGCTGATTAAAAAACAACTATAAATTTATAAGTACAGTAGAAACTCGATTAACCGCACTAATAAATTGCTATTAAGATCAGAAAAGATATTGTTTTTTTGTATTTACTGTCGGTTGAAACGGCTAATGCAATTGATATATAAAATTATATTCACCTGTGTTTGCTCCGGATCTGACTTTTCTTCAACCACGGTATCTAGTTCCTGCGAAGGAAAGCCCCGACTCATTTGTCTATCGGGTTTTAAAGTTATGGGCCTAGCATTATGAGTTCCGGCTGAAATACAATATAAATTAATTTTAACATATAATGAAATAATTTTTGTAAGTTATTTATATATTATCACACGTTCTTAGCTGTATGGGACACTGCTTATTACTAAAAACGTTGTTATTAGTAGGCAATCTAATTATAGTCTTAACCTATTCTTTTTATTATTGGATGCTATTAGAAGATAAACCCACAGTCGCCTTTCCAATTGGAATGCTGCTGCAAAGTAAGTGCTATTTTCACTTGGAAACATATTGCTATCTATATTTCTAAGTAAAAACGGATATCACTACGGCTCGACATCAAGCTGTCGGAGGAAAGAATGAAACCCGGATTTTCTGATTTAAATTTCGTAACTCCAACCATAGATAAACAAGTATAAAGTGGCTCTAACCACTAATTAACAGGGAGCCGACACAATGAATAATGAAAAAAGACACATATCGAAAATAACTATTGTAATCTTTATGAATATATGTCCATAATTTTTTGTAAGCATTTCGTGAAACGCTAATCAAAATAAGATAAAGGAAATTAGTTCAAGCAGATGAAATAGACAATATACTGTAATCTTTAAATTAATAAAGCCGGTGGAACCGTGAACACTAATATAGATCAAATTTTCGTACAATAAAACAAAACTATACTTGCTTATTTTAGTTTTCTTGTAGTTATTTATTAGGATTCTTATTTCCATTAATATGAAAAATATATCGGCAATGAAATAAAATAGATACAATATTGGAACTTTGGATATTGACCGGGTTAGGAAAGAGTCATGAAGGATTATTTACTGAGAATGAAATTTGCTTATCAATTATTGCATTTCTCTAACAATTGTTTCATAATATTTAATGAAGATTTTGTCATAGTAGCAGAATTTTATTAAAATCATTAAATTTTAATAATTGAACAGAGTGGTAATAGTGGATATGATTTAATTGTTCTGCAGAAGTACTAAAGTGCAGAAGTAATAAGTTTTTAACTTTGATTTGTATACTATTATTCTTAGATGGTAAATAATACAACGACCAATTGTTGCACTAATCATTTCTAAAGTCATTTATAAATATATTTGCTGTCCCTACCGCCAACTAAATTCAATTGACTTTTGAGTTGGTACATAATCGCATTAGAGTTAGGTAGTATTTGCTAAGTTTGATAAAAGGTTTTTGAGATCTATCTACTCACCTAATCTATGAATTGGACTGAATCGAACTAGTGACAAAGTGCCGTGTTCCTTATCACAGTTCCTTCTTCTCGCTCTCTCCCTTGCCATTCGAGCCCTTCGGCGAAGACAGCAGATGATGAGCAATGCCAATATAGGGAAACCCACGATGCACGATACGATTGGTATCACAATAGACTCTGGCGACACTGAAAAATGACTTTTTTGTAAGAAAAGACTGCAGAAGTGATGGATCAAGTGTTACGGCAATATTTTTTTATGCCTTTATTTACTATTTTGTCAATCAAGACTTATAAAGTAGTCTTGATCTACAAGACTATGGTATCTACCCTCAAAAAAAAAATCATAAAAATCGTCACATTTTTTTAAAAAAAAACTTTATTACAAGAAAACGGCCCGGTCGATCTTTACCAAAAACTAATCAGCACAATTCCCAATCTATATCTATCGAACGGTTTTGGAATTTTCAAAATCGATTCAGAATTGCGGGCTAAAACGAGGACGAAACATTTTTCACTTTTCTGCGATTTACAAAGAAACGGCCCGGATACATCGAATGGCTTTTAAATGTTTGAAATCGATCCAGCCGTTTTTGAGAAAACGTCGATTTACGGCAAAAAATCTGTTCACACACGCACACACACACATACTTTTTCCAAATTTGGTCTCATCCGATTCAGAATGGCTTGAAACGTCGAGAAAACATAAAATTAGCGAGTCGGATTTTTTGCTGAAAACATAAACTTCTCCTTCGGTAAGTTAAAAAAAACCTTCATATCTATATTTTTTATATGTAACGCCCAATCTATCTAACATATATATATATATACACACTTTGTGCTGTGCACACAACTTTAGATGTAAGATACTACGTGAAAAATCCACTGATAACGACATCAAATTGTATGTCGAAACGTTTAAAATGAAAGATTAATTTATAAATTATTCTTTTTTTATGTATGAATCTAAAAAAACTTACTCATATATTTCAAGACCAAAATTAACCCTTTCCACTCGTGATATGCAGAATTAATACGTGTTTTGCTGCCGGAGCGGCAAATATATAAATAAATAAATATATATATATATATATATATATATATTATATATATATATATATATATATATATGTCTTTATATATGTATATATGTATGTATATAAAAACATATACATATATCTTTATATATTTTCGATCAAATGTAAAATAAATTTACAATATTTCACAGTCAAATAAAGTTTTATTAATATAATATGAACATAAATTTCTATGCATTTATTACGAATTTAAACAATACGTTTTAAATTCAAGTTAAATAAATATGTTTATTGTCGCATAAAATGTGTGTCCGCAACCAAATGCAATCATTCATATAAGCATCATTAAACTTTTAGTAGCAGTTTGAACTAGATTTAGCAACAAATATATATATATATATATATATATATATATATATACTAGATGACCCGACAGACGTTCTGTACCCATGTCTATAATTCAAAAGTTCCAATTTTTTAAATACTAATATTTACCAATTAGTTAAAAATTATTATGATTTTACACTACAGTCTATACAGAAATGTATGTAGTCATACCTGTAGGTGTAAATGTATAAATAAATGATATATATATATATATATATATATATATATATATATATATATATATCGTATCGTAGTACAGCTCATACGTCGAAATGAAAGAAATATTCATAAAAGTATAAACGTTTCGAGACCAGGTGCGTGTCACCATTCAGCTAAAAAAATACATTAATTTGTTCAAAGATACAGATTTATGTTTCTACAAAAAGAAGTAAAATTATTAGTATCGGACTAGGTGAAAAAAAAATAAAAGAAACACAACTAATGCAAATGCACACCTCATATGGTATGTATAATCGAACCTGGGATTGGAATCTAAAACCTTACATAGTATAAAAATTCACATATTTAAATAAAAATAGGTAAATCATTTCAAATGTTACTAAAACCAGAGTTTGGTTAAACCTTGAGATATTGAAATTTGTTATAAAGTTTGAATAAAGTCAATATTAAACAAATTAACAATCATTATATTAAGTTTCACATTTGTTCTGATTTAAAATTTTATATCGTTAATCCAACCATTAAAATTATTACTTGTTGATTTGTTATATTCAGAAATTAGGAATTTACTAAATGATTTTTATCGAGTTAGCAATTGTATGTATTAAACCTATGTATTAAGCAAAGCCACAGTACTAACCACTTCTACTATTCCACGATGATCACCAAACTACAATTCGAAACATGTCATAGTCCAACCACAAGGACATATCGATCAGCATGATGGTTTTCTGGTATTAATTACACAGTGTCCTCATACATCATGAGAAAAGCTACAAAGAGCATTTCGCGTCAAGTGTGACAGGACCTTTGAAAAAGGAAAAGCTGTGTCATGACGAAGGATTTCGGTCTCGTAACATAATTCGGTGTTTTCGTTGGTTCCCGGACTGTTACTTTTAATTACATTTCTGTTACCGCGTAATTCAGTATGCGGTGTAATTAATTTAAAATCATGTCAGAAATATTTTCATGTGTAATTAAAACGCAGTTATTCAAAGCGTCAAACTTTATAGGGATATTAAAGGAAAGATAGTTTAATTACTTGCTTCATAAATTTGTAGAGGAAATTGACGATTTTAATGTAAAATATCAGCATAAAATCTCATTTATCTCAAAGTATAACATTTATATTTCTCTGATGAACAATTATTATGACTAGCATTTTGTTGATAATAGACAAATCAAATTACTGATGGTTGGATGAAAAAGCGTAAATGGTTCAGAAATCATAGCTAATTTCCTCAATATATTACGATTAGACAACAAAAAATTTCATCATATCAATACTAAGAAAATAAGATGCTTGTGTGCTCATGCTGTCAGAATACAGAACCCGAGTTCAACTGCAGATATCGAGCAGTAGCGATATCCACTTTTGAAAATATAAATCTATAATATGTTTTCAAGTAAAAATAGCCCATCTAGGACATTTCTGTATCTAAGAAAATCAGATATGAAAAATGTTAGATTCATGCTAATAACAGTTATTAACAAATATGGTTTTGTTAACTGCTGGCTTATTATCTAATTACGGCAAGTTCGAATACAAGAATTCATAGATTCTGTTTACTGTTGAAAACGACAATATAAATTAAATTTAGTTTTATACATTGTCAGAAGTATTGAGTGTATTAATATTGATAGTCCAGTGATTAATGAAAATAAAATATAATTAGGCATTTTCAAATTCAGTGTGACGATGAAATTCAACTTTAGGTACTACAAAAAATAGTAACTTGAACATCATGCAACGCACTCAAAATAAAATCCCGAGGCAAATCTTAAACGCTCCTCGTTACACGTCAACATATTTTGGCAAGAAAGTCTGTGCTTGGTGAATACCATATGGTTTATTCACCAAGACACAGACTTGCTCACAATAGCAGAACAAACCGTTGTGGTTGCTTCTAAATATAAATATAGATTTTTTTTTATTGTTTTTATTTTAATCACAATCTGTCACACTTAGGACATTCAGTAATTGTTTTGACTTTTCTTACTATATGAATCTTGAATGGATGGCAACCCAGTAGTTGTCCAGCCTAGTTATGACTAATTATCTATATTCGAATTTGCTGACATTTTACTATATAAGCAACTATACCCACAAGAGGCAATTTTCACTTGAGGCTATATTTGAGATCTATAGCCTCAAGTAGAAATTTGACATCAAAGTTGCCTGATGTCAGGCTTGGCGATAGCGGGAATCAAACCAGTTGTAGGAAAAAGTTATGTATATAAAATTATAAAATCCATTGAATGAAAATATAAACGATTATATAAATTACAAAATTTTATGATAAATAAAAATGACAAGACAAAATGAATGTTATATTGTTTTTCCACCATGTCTAGCCTGCTTGAATCCCCACACAAACCCTGCCCAGTGTTGACCTCACAGTTTAAAAAATACAGGTAAACACGTTATAAAAATATGGTGGAAAAGCAGATTATAGCAGTGTTGTGGTACTGGTTAATTAGAAATTCATCCAATGGAATAAATGACAGTTTCGTCGGCAGATCCAGGTAATTCGACCTTCCATCATCTTCATACTATGCATATGGTTCTAAATATAAATCACGTGGTAAATCTGCCGGAACCTCGATGTCTTGCTAAACTTTGAAGATTCAGCCATGATCTTAATTTTTAATAATATTTAATAATGTTTAATTTCTATAATATTTTGGGTAAATAGATGGCGCTCTGTAAGAATATGGACTTTCGCAATGATTATAATAATCATGTCGACTTCAGTAGCCCTTTGTATCATCAGATTCTCGAATCGGTTGTGATTCGAAGGAAAGCGTATCGAAGAGTCATCATCTTGACCAGATGCAGTTCCAAAGTTTAATGCATCAAAAGACGATTTGGTGAGTTAACGGACAAGGAGAGATCGAATTGCAATTCCAATGAAGTATTTGATAGTGAATTCAATTCAGGACCCAAAGTCTAGGCTCAAAACTAATTTTTGTGTCAGCAATAAACACTGAGGTCTGGGTATACAAAATGGGTATACCAACAGTACCTCATAAGTAGTCACGGAAGATAAGTGATTATGGTGCTGCATCAAAGTCTACATTTTTTTAAATTTCCGATTCACGTTCCTTCTTTGTCTTCATCACAAACGTCGTAGGTCACCAGTATAGGAAAAAGTTATGAATATAAAAATATAAAGTCCATTGGATGAAAATATAAACGATTTATTAATTACAAAATTTTATGATAAATAAAAATGACAAGTTATATTGTTTTACCACCATGTCTAGCCTGCTTGATTCCCCACACAGTGAACCCGGGACTAGTTGGTGCTAGCCCACGTTCTAACCGATATCGCCACCGATGGCCCACAAATATAAAAATGACGAGCATATTAATGAATTGGCCGGTGGAATATACCTGAAATGCTACCCCACCAGAGTGAGAAGAAAATTGCCACAAGATCTCATTTAGTTCAGGTAAATATTGGTATATTTTATTGATTTTTTTCTTTTGTTTTATCAATTTCAATTATATATGTTATACATTCCTAGTAGATATATCGCTGGGTGTTACCACTACTTTTTTATGTAATATTCTAAGTTTAG